TTACAAAATCTGTTTGCAGGGTTTCAAATTTCTGAAGGTAACAAAAATAATATGGGAAAAAATAAAAAAAAAAAAAAAAAAACCAAAAAAACAAACAAAAAACAAATTCTCTTCTATGTTGTGGCAGTATCAAGAAGTCACGAAACCTGTCGGGAGAAAAAACTGATCTCCTGGTCATCACTAGGAAATAAATAGTGGAAAAATGTTTCTTTAGTCTTGAAAAGAAAAGACACAATAATTAAACGGGCGTGTCGGCGAGAAGCCTTCGTCAGCAGACAAATTTTTTTTTTCACATTTAAAACAAACCACTAAAAAAAGATTTTACAACTAAAAGAAACAAATAAAAACGCATGTTTTCGGAAACCTCAATAATTTTCAACTTAAGTTTTAATTTCTATTTATGTATGCCGCTTTTAAGGGTTTCGGTTGAGAGATTTCATTCTCTTATCCAAGGTTAACGAGTCTCAGGCACCCAAAGGATTTGGTGGTGTTTTTTAATGCTGGGATTATACAATTTTGATCCCACGGCCATCCAGCCACCCACTCTAATTAAGAATTTTAAGAATTAAAACTAAACAAAAAATGATTAAAGGCATATTAGTTCACCCCCACCCGCCCAAAAAAAAAAAAAAAAAAAAAAAAAAAAAAAAAAATACCCAAAGGATTTGGTGGTTTTTTTTAATGCTGGGATTAAACAATTTTGATCCCACGGCCATCCAGCCACCCACTCTAATTAAAAATTTTAAAAATTAAAACTAAACAAAAAATGATTAAAGGCCTATTAGTTCCCCCCCCCCCCGCCCAAAAAAAAACAAAAAAACAACAACAATAAAACACTGGATTTGACAATTTGATTGGCTGAAAAATGTAAAGACATTTGTAATGCTAAAGTATAATTGTTTTATATCAAAATCATTAATGAATAGTCACCGAAGAACATTGTTCAGTTTTGTCCGTGTAAATTTTTGTAACACTAATATTCTTAGTGGACTCTCGAATTGAAATACCAATATGATGACCCACAGCAGTGTCCAAAGCCTAGGGGAGGGAGGGGATTTGGCTTCCATCATCCAGGAGAGGTTTTTAGGGGGGGGGGTTGGTGGTTCGGGGGTAGATGCCCCTGGTCTGTATAACCTAATAACATTTTCCTAAGCTGTTCGACAGGTGTGTTCATAAGCGTGACTCATGGCGTCACAATGTTATGTTCACTAATTCCCTCACGTTATTAAGGCTGTATAAATAAATGTCCAATTACAGTGACGTATGGTGGCGTCAGGCACACGCAATGCCAATGGTTAATCTTCATTATGTGCACGGGGACTTTAATTCAATACAAAATTTGTTAATTAACAGGTGACGTAGCTATTGAGGTGATAATTAATTGTCCCAAAGAGATCACATGGAGGGCATTTATCACCCTTTGTTTCAAGGGGTCGGGGGTCGGGGAGTCGGTCGGTAATGTGTTTAATCCCCCGCCCCCCTCCCCCCCCCCCACTTCCCATGGCAGCACCTCATATTACATCTAAAGAAAAATATATATTTATAAATAATTTGACTAAGTGTTTTGATCGCTCATGTATGAGGCTCTCCTGTATGGCTGCTCCATGTGTTGTATTCAATGCGATCTAATCCCAAGATAGTCCAATTCGTCAATTTATGTTTAATGTGTTTAGGGGTTTACTTAAGCGAGGAAAATACCCAGACGCTAAAATGCAAATGTACACTTAGTGGGTTATGGGATGTAAGTGGTTTGCACTTGTAATGCATGCCCCGTAGAATCAACTATCGAGAGTGACCTTGAGCTAACACAGCTGCCCTCAACATGTGGGCCGCGACCCCTTTGGGGTGTCGAGCGAACCTTTTACAGGGGTCGCCTAATCAATGAAGAGCCACGGGTGCGGTGACGGTCTATATGTCTGTAGGACCATTGTTTAAGGGCCAGCAGATATGGTGTAGGACTGTCTGTAGGACTATTGATTAAAGGCCAGCACAAGGGTGTAGGACTGTCTGTAGGACCATTAATTAAAGGCCAGCACATAGGGTGTAGGACTGTCTGTAGGACCATTGATTAAAGGCCAGCAGATAGGGTGTGGGACTGTCTTTAGGGCTTCTGTTTATAAACAATCAGAAGTTAACTTTTTTTTTTTGGGGGGGGGGGGGAGTGATGACACTTGGACCCACCAGGTATTTTCTCAAAATACCCGAACATTGTGTAAAACAAATCTGCATTCCGTTAAGCCCTTGTAAATAATAAGTGACAACAAAAAAAATATATTTTAAAAAGAAAGAATTATATACAGAGTCAACAATACGGTCTGAAAAGGAAACAATTTCGGATTTTGAGGAATTTTGTGCTTTAGCATTGCTTTAAATGTTATTGTGCTAAATGGTATTGCGTTAAATGGCATTGCGTTAAATGGTATTGCGTTTAATGGTACTGCGTTAAATGATATTGCCTTAAATGGTGTTGTGTTCAATGGTATTGCCGTAACTGGTATTGTGTTAAAGGGCGAGGACTGAAAGATATAAAAATTCTTTTGTCCCCCAATCTGTACGAATTTACCAGCGTGCTCCCCCTGAAGTCACAAATCTTCATGAGAACTAAGAAGTCCCTGCGTGCTCCCCCTGAAGTCACAAATCTTCATGAGAACTAAGAAGTCCCTGCGTGCTCCCCCTGAAGTCACAAATCTTCATGAGAACTAAGAAGTCCCTGCGTGCTCCCCCTGAAGTCACAATCTTCATGAGAACTAAGAAGTCCCTGCATGCTCCCCCTGAAGTCACAAATCTTCATGAGAACTAAGAAGTCCCTGCGTGCTCCCCCTGAAGTCACAAATCTTCATGAGAACTAAGAAGTCCCTGACATGACTAAAAGAACTCACTAAATGTCTGTTTGTTGTTGTTTTTTCTCAAAATTAATTTTAAAAAAAATAAAATAAATGTCTTGTGTTCAAATTGTTTTATTTATGTGCTGAAAATGCACAATGCAATCATAAAACATTTCCATTTTTTTGATCAATAAAAGAATCCTATCTTATCTTAAATCTCAGGGTTTGAATTCCCAGTTTTCCTTCTCGTTGATGAATTGCCATCTTGGGTTAACATTCCCATCCACCAGGATCTTCAGAACACAATAATTTTGTTGTCATTGATATAGATGACAGTCTGTTATGACAGTTTACCACCACAGCATCCACTGCCCTGTATCCCAACTTTTCTCAACCACTTCGCCAATCCCATGACCTCCCCTCAATCCCTTGTCTTCACATCAAACTTTGCCCTAAAACCAAAACCCTGGACGTTATCCTCTGTCCCATC